AATCCACCTGTAAGCTCTCAGAAATTGTCCACATTAGGAAGAGGCGTTCTCCATAGGCCTTGATCCACTAGCCCTTGGGGTTTGGAGGAGGAGGAAGTGGAGTGGTAAATGCTTGCACCTGTTATCATGTCTTAGCTGGGCTTTTAATCTGCCCTGTCATCATCCTGCCAACACCTGTGACCTAGTGTGCTGCTGTTGATTTTGCTGGTGAAGGGGGATAAGCAATGATTGTCCAAAGTTAATTACTTCAATCTCTATCTTCATGATTCTGTAATTTCTCTAGAAATGATATATGAGAGAAAACCAGCAGCTCTCTTGCTTTTTCCTTATGCTCCAGCCACACTTATTTTCTTTCTGCCCCTTAAACAGGACAATCTAGTTTCTATCACAAGTCACAATTGCAGTTCTCTCTGCCTGAAATGTTCTTCCCTCAGATCTTTAATGTCTGGCTCCTCCTCATTAATCTCATCTCACCTCAAATGCTACCTTTGCAGAGAGATCTTTCTTGACACTGTATTTAAAATAGACACCATCTAGGTCCTGTCATATTGTTCAGTTTACTTTTCATCGAACTAATTACAATTTAAGTTATCGTATTTATTGTCTATCTCTTCCCATCAGAATGTAATTTCCTTAGAGTATGTATTCCATTTGTCTTTTTTGCTGTGTTGCAGTCTAGTACAATGCCCAGAGCCTGGTAAATGTGCGTGGATTTTGAGGAATGAGTGAGCAAATGAATGAGTGAGATAACACTAGCACCATTACTTGTCCTGCTTTCACTCTATTTTTAACTTCTTCCTAAACATATGACATGAATAGTAGGGTGTGTTCGATAGCTTTTTTTTTCTATTTTAAATTCTTTTTCCTTTTTAATTATCTTCCAGGAGAATTCCTCAATTTAATCTCACAGTTCACAAATTCATTATATATTTGTATTTCATTCTGCTTTTATTCTTTATATTGTGTGACATACTAGGTCACAGGTCTATATTCTAAGTATCGATAATTAAATCATTTTTATTATGACAGTAATGACATCAAAAATTTTATTTTGCAATGTGATATCATAAAGAAAAAGTCTCCAGTTTTATTCTTTGGTTTTAGATAGCAATGAAGTCCAAGTTAGCTCTGTATCTTCTTTAGCTAGCTATGTCACAATAATGAGTTACCAAATAGTGTTTCATAAGTACTCATTTGATCCTCACCACAAATCTGTAATGTGGATAGGGTGTGATTTCCCATTTTTCAGATAAGGAAAGTGAGGTTCAAAGAGGTGAAGTGAGTAGGTGGCAGATCGGAGATTTGAACGCTAGTCTTCAGTTGTTACCTGGTGTAGTTTTTCTCACCAAACAGGTTTGTCACTAAGTATATGTCATATTATCAGAGCAGAAACTTGAGGATGTCTCCTATCATTCCTAAGAGGTATTTAGTTTTATTGGCTGGATTGTCAGTAGAGAAAACCTGTAAAATAAGGACAACAGTAATAAATGGCTATGATGTGCTAGGCACTGTTCTAAGTGCTGTACATGTATTAATATATTTACATTTCTTTATAATCCAGAGAGGCTGGTAATATTATATGCATTTTGCAGATGAGGACACTAAAGCACAGAGGGGTTAAGTAACTTTCTCAAAACACAAAGCTAGTAAATGGCAGAGTTAGAATTATGAACCCAGCAATTTGGCTCTTGATCACTATCCTATTCTATAATAATAGAAACTTTATTGCAGCTTATAGTTTATGGAGAGCTTTCATATCCCTGTGTAGAGAAGGGAGGCAGGATTTGTTAAATAAACAGTATACTAAGTTTCAGAGAGGTGACTTGGCCTACCTCGCCCTGACAGCAAGTGGCTGAAATCATACTGAAATCCTTTCTTCTGAAATCTAATTATGTCTCTGTTCTTGGACCATATTTTATTATCTATGATTTTATTAGCTCACTATGGTCTTCTTTAGATGTTTTTCTTCTCTAGTGAGTTATATTGTTATGGGCTTAAAATATTAACCTATTTATGTATCTAAGAAATATTTTATCTCTTATATTTTGATGTTCCTTGATCATGTCTCTTGCAGTTGAATTGCGATGATTTCAGGACAGGAGAAAGAGATGGGAATTTTATCTGTACCCTTGATAATGCAGCTGTTTGTGGCACAGATGGGAAAACATACAGCAACAGATGTGCATTGTGTGCTGAGAATGCGTGAGTATTCTCTGAAGCAGGCTTTCTCCCTAAAGCGTGCTCTCTGTATAGTTACATGACACATTTTTTCTTACAGTCTTTAAGATAATTCATTTTGTGGGAGTTATCCATCCATAAATTATTAGAACCACTTCTTTTACTACTCTTAAGGAAAAAAATATGTACATAGTATAACACTTTATATTTTACAAAGCACATTTGGTACAATTTATCAGATGATTATTACTGTTTCTATAAAGTAGACAGACATCTGATATCTATATCTATATAGATACAAGCATACACATATACACACACATATATCCACACATACACGAACATACACACATCTATCTAGCTTTCTATCTACCTATCCATTTTCTGTCTATCTTATTTAGGAGTATATCCTTTTCACAGAAAATGTTTAATCATCAAGCAATATTTATTTATTAAGTGCTCAGTAATTTATAATATTAGAGTAGATAATAGAGACTTTTAATTAATACCGAACTTTTTACCATCTATTCAACCTTTGCCACTTAGCTAAAGCATCTCACTGTCCTATATTTTGTGCCCATTTAGTTCTTTCTCTACCCTCAATGCCAGGTTTGATTATTGAATGTCTTGAACCAACAAGATGACATACCTGCTTTGCAGGTTCTGGCTTGTGACCTCAATCTTGAATTATCTGCTATTCAGTTTTTGCAAATATAGCAACCAATGTTTGAGAAGGCTAGTAAGGGGTATGATAAATATTCAGTCTTTAAGGTTCCACAAGATTTATCCCTCTTTGTAATAAGTATCTTTGGCAACACACAACTGAATTAAATCACTCTGATCCCTCACATGACTGCATTTTCAGAAATGTACTCTAAAATTATGCCTTCAACTCTGTCCGGGGGCAAGCATAAAGAAAACAAAATAGACATCAGAAGAACATACAGGTTTTTATTAGATACGTGTTTTGTAACACTACTATGAGCACATTGTACATTTAGTTCCTACTATGTCTTATGTGGGGGATCCTGTGATAGATTCTTTAAATTCTGGTGCGGGTGAGACTTTCTCTCCCCTAATTCTGGCATATTTTTTTATTGCACAGTGAGGGTCTTACCGCTCATTGTGTTTCTTTCTTAGCTCTGTCTGCAAGGAGATTCTGCAGTAACATCAGCATTCAATTTTTATGGTTTCCCTCAGCTGACATCTTTTGATGTAACTTTTTTCTTATCACTTTTAACTACTTAGTTCTTTTATATTATTTTTATGGTATTTTTATTGTTATACAGATGCTATAGTTGAAACCCACCTTATCTTTTTGGAAAGTAGAAAGTGTATCTTACATTAATGGTTCTATGTTTTCAGAAGCTTTAAAGCTCTACTAGATGGAACAAAATTAATTCTTAAAACTTAATGTACTTTCCATGAAAAATAAAATATTAGCATAACTCAAATGAAGAAGAGTATAATAAGATGCTAGATACTACAAACTTGAATTCATTTACTTAAAGCAACAACATCATCAACAACAATATAGTTCCTTGTGGAGCATCTAATATCTACTTGTAAGCTTTATTTTTTTCCACGCTTCTGATATGGATCCTCTCTGGACATGGGGAAAAAAATTCTGGAAATAATATTTCTAGGTCTGAATCTTATCAGCCCTCCAACGTGATTCCATTCCTTTGACTCCAAGTTATAAACGTAGGCTCTCATTAGAAAGAGTAAATAAAGAAAAGAATACAATGTGACACTTGTTTTCAGGAGCAAAGGAAAATCACAATACAATGAAGATAAGTTACTTTTGAATGGTGAGAGGTTCTGTGACATTAAACTGCTGTGTCTACTAACTTTCAATTCCAGGAAAACCAGGTCCCAAGTTGGCATAAAAAGTGAAGGAGAATGTGAGAAAAATAATCCAGAGAAGGTGAGGACAAATGTCAGAGTGGTGAGAAACATTGGGGGACTGACTTCGAAGAGAAAGAAGATGCTCTCCTCTTCCTTCTTTGGTGGGGTGTTTGGAAGGCAATAATTCTTGCTCTACTTGAAATGAGTTACTGCTTGTTTAGATCAAAAGCAATTGACAGTTCCTGAAACTGGAGCAGGTTACTTCAGTGGTTAGACCTTTCAGGTCTATTTCTGCTTCCTATGGGGGGATAAAAAAAGAAAGAAATCGAAAGGGAACTACATGTGTAGTAGAAAGGAGGGCACTAGACTTTAGTCACTTAACCTCTGTTGACACCCGAGTACTGTCACTTGCTGTCAGGAGACCTTGGGCAAATTACTTAACCACACTGTACCAGTGTTTCCATATCTAAAAATGAGATTTGGATTTAATAGCTTCTTTCTATGCTAAAATTCTATGAGCCCGTCATGGTAGGGAAAGAAAGTGAGCATCTCATATGTGTCACATTTGACTTTTTCTAGCTGAATGATTTTCCTAAGTCAAGGTTTGGTGCCTTTCTATATGCAGCTAGGGCACCTGAGGTTACCTCCACGAAGACATTTAGCATACTGTATTTTAAATGTCTCTTTTTCTGTGTCGCCCAGGAGACTATGAACAAGTTGAGGGCAAGGATTGTGTTCTACCTTAGTTCTAGTGCATAGTAGGTTATCTGTGTTTACTAATAAATGAATAAATAAGTAAATGAGTTCCATACTTAACCATATGAATTATACAATACTCACTGAGCTAGTTCTACACATCTGGTGGCTAGTGTGCATTGGGCAGAGAGGCACTGAGTTCTGTAAAATTTGTGAAAACAGTGTTGTAAGCATTACAGTCAGGACGGTGAATTCAAATGCCTTTCTCTGTCCTTCAGGACATGTGTAGCGCTTTTCGGCCTTATGTGAAGGATGGAAGACTTGCATGCACAAGGGAAAATGATCCAGTTCTTGGTCCTGATGGGAAGACGCATGGCAATAAGTGTGCGATGTGTGCTGAGCTGTTGTAAGTATCGTCATCCCCAAGCAGACCAAGCACGTGGACCTGATGAGGGTGTACCTGGTTGCTGTCCTGAGACCCACTCCACAGAGAGATAAAGAACTTTTTGTGAAGCGTGCAATCCTTTGTCTTTATATTGTGGAATAGTCCTTGCTCCCAGAGTGGCTTCTTCTCTTTTTAATTTGTATCACCTACTAAAGTTTCTTAAAAGGAGTGGATAAGGTGCATATATTAGTTGTTAAATTCAAGGCTCTTAATTTGTTTAATTGCAGTGACTTAAAAATGCACACTGTTTTATAAGGCGCAATATTTTAAAATTTAAAAAGCGCTTTTATATGGAAGAATCTAGGACAGTCATTTGACATACATTGCTTCATTTGGGCATGTATAGAGATTCTTACTAAAAATGACAGTCTAATTTAAAATAATAATAATAATAATGACATTGGCTGAATTCATTATTAGTATAAAAGGTGGAACTTTATGAAGGGGAAGAGCTGTTGGGTTAATCTTTCCCTGAGTGCCTGACACTGCTCTGAGCACTGAGACCTAGATATGAATAAGATCCAATGAGTCTCGAATATTCTGGCTGTTAAACAAGGTATAGACTCTCTAATTCATGTGTCAGCAAGCCTTAAAGTGCTCTATTTACGTCACTGGATCTTTAAAATCAGGACAGAGAAAGATTTAACAGATTAATAAACTTCATACCTGCTTTTGAAAATTACGGTATGCTGCTGTAGACTTCAAGGTCATGTCCTACCAGGTTTACAAAACAGTGATTATAACTGTTTGCAGACAGAATATCAGTCTAATTTCCACTTTCTTATCTTGGAGGCATGTGCTATTAGTGTTCAAATCTGCCCTAATTCTGTGACTTTCTGTTTCTTTTCATGCACTAGCTGAAAAAGAGAATTTGACTTCCCTAACTCCTGGTTGATTTCTTCCTCTGTAGAACTAAGATAGTAATGCCTATCTCCAAGTTGAGACTGAAATTAGAGAATAGATATGAAAGGACTTAGAAGCTCAGTTCAGTGTCGCTTGTATGAACAAGGATGCTTTCACATGAAGGCAAATACTTTACAAGGTATAAAAAGCCATACATAAGGGTGTGGATGACAATACGTCAAATGCTTAATTTGGTTTCACCCTTGTCACAACGTCATTTTAAAGCTCTTGGTTCTGCCTGCTTAGGGAATTTTCCTGACGATCTTCTGTTTGTCAATCAAGGAGTCACACCCATCCAGGTTTACAGAACAAAGCTTCTATTTGACTGTCAGTGAGTCAGTTTCACACCCTTCCTTATCTTTGGCAATTTTCTGGCTCAGACATTCGAGACAGGGAAAAGCTTGTCTCATGTAAGTGCATGGGTTTAAATAGTTATAGCAAAGAATATGAAAGTACTTAGCACAGAACTGGACGCTAAAAGTACGACAGAGGCATAAACTGACCAACTATTTTCTTTTGTTAACAGCTTAAAGGAAGCTAAAGAAAATGCCAAGCAAGAAGGTGAGACCAGAATTCGACGAAATGCTGAAAAGGTAAATTACTCACCAACAAAATTTGTTTTTTGTGGCCACAAATATTAACAAATGTATGCTTGAAACTTTGAGGTAATTCAATAGTGTCATTGTTCTTCACCATTAAACTGAATGTTTTTGCTTTAATTTCAAAATTCCCCAAGTTGACTACTCTTAGTATATTAATCATTAGATTCAAAGTTAAAACAGCATTTCCTACTTAATGTTCAAAATATGTAATTTCCCTCCTTGCTTAAAAAAAAGGGAGAATGTAATACAGAAAGTTTATGCAAATTAAATGCTTAATTTTCACCAGACTTCTCTCTGACTTAGTATAAATTAATTTTGCTTTGAATAAATTATAAAAAAAGCAACATATAAATTGTTTAAATAAATAAATTTAAAATAATTTAAAATA